TCATTGAGTCTGTTTGCTGTTTCTGTTGGTGGGAGTTGGGGTTCATCTGATTTTGCTAATTTTATTTCGCTATTTCGTGATATCTTTTTTGTTCCTAGAATTTCTGATAGGGTTTTCCAGGTCTTTTTTATATCACCTCGTAAGTTGGATAATCTGTTCTCATAATACAATTCTTTTGCCCTTTTATCAGGCTGGTTAGGATTGACGAGTAACGTTTTTTTGGTCTCTGGTTATGTGACCCATTCTTTTACTGTTTTTCATATTGGTGTTTTGTATTTATGGATTTGAGAATGCTGGGTGTTAACCAGGGACTGTTCAGTCTCTTAGCTGTCATCTGTTTAGTTTTTTTAGGGCAGTGCTTGTTATAGAGGTATTGGGTCTTTTTTAGAAAATTATTAATACATTCGTCAATATCTGTATAGATTTCTAGCTCAGTGTGCCAGTCAATGTTTTGCTACTGCTGTTGTGAAGTTATTAATGGCTGCCTCATTGTGAAGTCTGAAGGTGACTTTAGTAGTGTCTTGGGGTAATTTACCAAGATTTGTTATGAGAAAAGTAGGGTAGTGGTCTGTGGTATTATCTGTAATTATGCCTGATTTTAAAGGGGATATGGTGTTGGTCCAGATGTGGTCAAGTGGGGAAAAACACTAGTCTCTGTAACTCTTGTAGGTTTTGTTACTGTTGGTAGCAACATCAGTTACTCATTGTGTTTGTGAATTCAGTAACGTGTGGGTCCTGGTCTTGCAGGAGATTTATATTGAAGTCACCTGAGAGTAGTAAGTGATCTTTGTTCATGCGTGCATCAGTTATCATACTTCCTAGGTTTTGACTAAATTGGCTAATGTTTGACTGTGGAACTCTGTAAATGTTTATCAATGTGAGAGGTTTTTGTAGGTATTGGATTTGAATTTGGCTATTATATATTCCCCATGTTCATCCCTTTGTGCAAGTAATTAGTGATACATTCTAGTTGGTCTGAGTAGTATATGGCTGTGCCACCCCCTTGTTGGTCTGGCCTACAGTTGTGTATGGCTGTGTAACCAGGAATGGCATAGACATCTGTACTATCAGGCTTTAGCCAGGTTTCAGTTAGTGTAATGATGGACATATTGGCATGTAAGAATTTAGTAATGCTATGAGGTCATCGTAATGCTTGCTTAAAGATCTGATATTGTAGTTAAAGATAGTTATGTTGTTGTTGGCACTGAGAAGTGCCTTTGATTGTTCTGCAGTGTAGTAATTACAGTAACTGTTTGATTCATTTAAGTCATTAAATAAGAGGTTGGTATCAGGATCAATGCTTGTAATCATAAGATTTGTAGTGAATCTATAGTTAGAATTAAGTATAAAAACAAAGTAAATAGTCTTAAGCTAAAAAAAAGCACCTGAATTATTTAACAAATGTAAAATAATGAGCTAAGGTAGTTTTTTTTTTTTTTTTTTTTTTTTTTTTTTTTTTTTTTTTTTTTTTTTTTTAAGCTAAAATAAAGGAGACAATATAAAAGGGACTAATACAAATAAAGTGATAATCAAATAATGGAGCTTGGGAATATGATAGTAGGTAGTACTATAAAGGTAATTCTTTAAAGTTAGAATTATAGTATAAAATAATATATATAAAAGGTACTAATGTAAGTTGTGGTGAACAATAAAGTGGTAATCAAATAAATGAGCTTTGGAATAATGGCAAAATTGTGAACTTATTCTACTTTAGCACCTGAGAATAGCACCTTGATTATTTTAACATTTGTGAATGTATAAACTAGGGTAGTTATATAAAGCTAAAATAAAGGAGAAAATATATAAGGGACTAAAATTAAGTAATGGTAAACAAAGTTAAATGGACAGGTGGTCACTATGAAATAATATTGGTTTAGGAGTAAGATCTGATTTGTAATATTAAATAAATTGAGCAGTTTATTGCACAATAAAAGTAAAAAAAATGAGGTAGTTGGTACTAGCTAGCAAAAGATAGTTTTGGTACTTGCAAAAAAGTAATTGGAATATATACTAATTGCATACACAATGAAAAGTGACTAAAAAAACAAGTAGTGATAAACAAAATTAAATGGACAGGTAAGAATAATGAATATTATTAATTTGGAGTAAGATTTGACTTGTAATTTAAAATTATGAGCAATTAATAGCAGTAAGAAAGAAGTATAGAGTATTGGAGGTATTTCATTAGCTAGTGATGAAAAATAATAAAAATATTTAAAGTACAATATAATAGTAACGTACACTATATGCACCACACGTATATATGTATTAAGGGCACTTATCTAATCTGTTTTCAGAAATGTCAGCTTTTCTAAGGAAGGTAGAGAAATCGTGTTCATTTGAGATAGTATATTGTTGTCCTGTTGATGTTTTCCTTACTAGTATTTTCCCATTTTCGCGTGAAACACTGATGTATTTTGTTTTCCTGTTTAAGTTTTCTCAGCCTGAACAGAAGGTTTTGACGTTTTTTTTGTTAGACACTCAATTTATGTACACTCCATTTTTCATTGTAATTGCTGATTTAATTAGGTCCTTTCTTTATCGTATGAATGAAGTCGGATCATTATACTGTGTTTACTTCCTGGTTTTCCTAACAAACGTGTTTCTTTGATTCATTTGTTTTGCACGATGACTTGTACGTGGTTCTGTATTATCCTGATAGCAGTTTCTTTGCACTGTGCTTGTGTTATGTCACTAGGAATGTGTGGACTGTTTATTATAACTGCATCAGACAACTTATCTTGTTCAGTTTTGTCGTCTTGGAAATCAAGGTATTCATTTAGTCGAGTGTGCATGTTCTGATTCCAGTCCTTGATTGCTTCTTCAACCTTCATATTTATTGTTGTTATTTGCTCAGTGTGACTGGCTATAGCTGCTTTTAGAGTATTTTCTGTGTCAACACTTCCCGATGTAATCTTCTCTTCAAGGTTTTGGATCTTATTCTCGAGGTTGGTTACAGTGGACCCCCGGTTAACGATATTTTTTCACTCCAGAAGTATGATCAGGTGCCAGTACTGACCGAATTTGTTCCCATAAGAAATATTGTGAAGTAGATTAGTCCATTTCAGACCCCCAAACATACACGTACAAACGCACTTACATAAATACACTTACATAATTGGTCACATTCGGAGGTAATCGTTATGCGGGGGTCCACTGTATATATATATAAGCACTGAATTCTCCATGGGGAAGTGGAGAAGAATATTTCCTCTGTGAGCTGTGTGTGTCATAAGAGGTGACTAAAATGCCAGGAGCAAGGGGCTAGTAACCCCTTCTCTTGGAAAGTATTTCTTCTTGTTTGGGTCATCTGCCTCGGTGGCAGACAACTGGTGTGTTTAAAAAGAAAAAAAAGGAGCACTGAGTGACCTACACAGTCAAAATGCTCTGATAATGTAATTAATACTAGTACTGTATCAGTCTGTAGTGGAAGGAAGGCGGGGTAGGGGTCGGCCTAGGAAGGGTTGGAGGGAGGGGGTAAAGGAGGTTTTGTGTGCGAGGGGCTTGGACTTCCAGCAGGCATGCGTGAGCGTGTTTGATAGGAGTGAATGGAGACAAATGGTTTTTAATACTTGACGTGCTGTTGGAGTGTGAGCAAAGTAACATTTATGAAGGGATTCAGGGAAACCGGCAGGCCGGACTTGAGTCCTGGAGATGGGAAGTACAGTGCCTGCACTCTGAAGGAGGGGTGTTAATGTTGCAGTTTAAAAACTGTAGTGTAAAGCACCCTTCTGGCAAGACAGTGATGGAGTGAATGATGGTGAAAGTTTTTCTTTTTCGGGCCACCCTGCCTTGGTGGGAATCGGCCAGTGTGATAATAATAAAAAAAAAATACTGTACTACTAAACCTGATTACCCCCATTTCCCAGGCACTCTGACCCTACGGGTTCAGTGCTTCCAAATGAATATACATAATAAAGAACAAAAAGGCACAATACGATGACTACAACAATACACAGCTAACCTTTACATACGAGAAAGAAACTGTGACAGCATTTCGGTCCGACTAACTGTTAGTGTGTGACTAGTTAATGGTCCAAGTCGGACCAAAACTTCATAAGTTTCTTTCTCCTATGTGCAGGTTATTTGTGTGTATATAATACAGCCTCTCCTTGCTTGGCAACATACTCATTTACCAATGACTCAAACTTGGGATGGGCTCTCTGATCAATGTGCATACTTAAATAATGTACAGTGGACCCCCGCATAACGATCACCTCCGAATGCGACCAATTATGTAAGTGTATTTATGTAAGTGCATTTGTACGTGTATGTTTGGGGGTCTGAAATGTACTAATCTACTTCACAATATTTCTTATGGGAACAAATTCGGTCAGTACTGGCACCTGAACATACTTCTGGAGTGAAAAAATATCGTTAACCGGGGGTCCACTGTATATTAGAGCTGATTTCCTCTATTCTGTTTATTGCAATATACAGTACACTACTGTATAAACATTTAAAAATATACTAGAATGCTACAAGTGGTGTAAAGGTGACATTAAAACAATATCAAAGATGGTTGACACAAACCCACTATCACTATAGTATGCTCCTCACTTAGCAATGAATTCATTTACCAACGTGGTCTTAGGAACGGAACTCCGTCGTTAAGTGAGGGGAGGCTGTAATAATTATAATGATGATTGGGAAAGTGTGGCTGTAAATGATTTATTTTACTTGCAGGTATTTATCCAGTTGGACTTACTGGAGAAGTGGCTACCACCACCAGAGTCTGGTGAAGGTGGTGGATCAGAGGAGACAGTGACCAACTTCAAGATTACTCTAGACCCCAGTGCTGCCTCTCTTACTGACTCATCTGATGATACTTCACTCTCCAGGTAAGTGCTCTGTACTCTATTCTTAACTGAAATGAAGTACAGTAAACCTTTGTTATAACAATAATATGGAGGATTGTCCAGTGTCTCTTAAATCAAAACAAAGTTAAAAATAGTATAAAAAAAGCACCTGAGTACTGTATTTAATAGTAGAAAAGACTCAAATTCTTCTTGAATTATTGTACAATGAATATTTTAAGAATGCCAATCTTTCCTGTCTTCAGTTACAGTGACTGTATTTACACGTTCCTTATTACTTGTATTCCACTCAGCAGAGGGGCCTTGATGCTAATGAAGGACTTTTTTTTTTTTCCAAGTAATTGGACCTATCCTTTCCTTGGATCAAACACATTAACCTGCCATTATGATGTAAATGGTTTAGAAAACCAACAAGTTGCATGAATTTAGCACATGTGCAACATTTGTGAATCTTTTTTGTGGAAACGGTTTATCGGCAAGTGGCTTTCTTAGTCCGTGCATATGCTGTACTTTTCTCAAGGTTGATGGACTGAACACATCAGCTCAAGGCTGAGGGACTGATTACCTCAAACTCCTCATCTTCCTCCATTCATCTCTGTACTGGACTGAGGAAGCCACTTGTTGGCAAAACCTTTCCACAGTAAAAATTCCCAAATGTTGCAAAAGTGTCTAATTCTTCTTCCCATTACCCATAAGTATAATTTCCATTTAAAAATGCATAAGACTGCAACTGCAATGACTCACATTTTTATAAAACTTTCAGGGTTATATATCTGTTGCGATGCTGCCCCCAAAATGAAGCTGTGGGTTATCTATTGAACCGTGCCCTTAATGAGGAGACCGGTTTCTCTGCCACTCTCCGTTTGAGAGCGCTACGTTGTCTATTAGCCATTGCTGATGAGGAGACCATCCGTGAGCACTGTCCCAAGGGTATCTCATCCATACGGTAATTATTGTTTCACAAACTCTTTATACAGAAATAACCCATGCATAGGAGAAAGAAACTCAACATGATGTTTCGGTCCAACTTTGACCATTAACTAGTCACACACTAACACATGAAGGTAAGGGAGCCAATAACTAGTCACACACTAACACACACCAGTAAGGGAGCCAGTAACTAATCACACACTGACACATGAAGGTATGGGAGCCAGTAACTAATCACACACACTGACACAATGAAGGTAATGGGAAGCCAGTAACTAATCACACACTGACACATAAAGGTAAGGGAGCCAGTAACTAATCACACACTGACACATGAAGGTAAGGGAGCCAGTAACTAATCACACACTGACACATAAAGGTAAGGGAGCCAGTAACTAATCACACACTGACACATGAAGGTAAGGGATCCAGTAACTAGTCACACACTGACACATGAAGGTAAGGGAGCCAGTAACTAGTCACACACTGACACATGAAGGTAAGGGAGCCAATAACTAGTCACACTAATGTTAGTGTGTGAAGAACAAAAAGGCACAATACCATGACTGGAACAATACACAAATAGCCCACACATGGGAGAGAGGAGCTTACGACGACATTTTGGTCTGGCAGTAAATGGTCCAAGATAGACCGAAACATCATTGTAAGCTCCTCTCCTATGTGTAGGTTATTTGTGCATTAATGTGTGACTGTTTAATGGTCCAAGTTGGACTGAAACTTCACCAAAAGTTACAGTCTTCTGTGTGCAGGTTATTTGTATATTGTTCCAGTCATGGTATTATGCCTTTGCATTCTTTATAAGCTGTTTATTATAGAGGTGTTGCAGGCCCATGGCAGCTGTGCTGAACTCTCCTGGCCACTCGGCATCTAGGTGAGAAGTACAAATAGGAACTGCGTCTCTCTCACTCAACAGACAGCGGATAAAGTCTCCACCACTTCTTGCGTTGACTGACCTGCCTGGGTTTAGCACTCAGCATGAATTATTTAAATTTATTTATTTCTCTTGGGCACTCAACACTTGATATCTCATTATAAGAATCTGAAATATATTTTGTGAACTGACTATACAGCAATGTACATCTCATACACACACACACACACACTAGTGAAGAGGCAGGGCCAGGAGCTTGGACTCGACCCCTGCAACCCCAACTAGGTGAGTACACACCTACACAAAATTATCAGTAGAAATGGGACATAGCAGAATAGTGAATTCTTGTAATGCTAAAAATTATAAAGCTAGAAAAATTCATACATAGATTTTTTCCAATATTTTTTAAAAATTTTATTGTGAAGCCATAGATGTATTTTTTGCCACTTTTTTTATTATTCGTATATTCTCACCATCAGATAGATTTTGTATTTATTAAGTGCCCTATTGTTTTTCTTTACTTTTTACCTGGGAGAAGCTTCAAGGGTTCTACCTTCACTGTCTGGCCTGAGATCAGGTTTCTTTGACTGTCTAACTTGATTGTTAGTCTGTGAAATAAATCATGGGGGGGCTTGAATCTGTGGCAAGTGAGTCTTAAAGCTCACCAGCCAGTGTGTCATGTTGGTTAGTGACTCACAGACCTACCTAGCCATTACACCAGCCAGTGTGTCATATTGGTTAGTGACTCACAGACCTACCTAGCCATTACACCAGCCAGTGTGTCATATTGGTTAGTGACTCACAGACCTACCTAGCCATTACACCAGCCAGTGTGTCATATTGGTTAGTGACTCACAGACCTACCTAGCCATTACACCAGCCAGTGTGTCATATTGGTTAGTGACTCACAGACCTACCTAGCCATTACACCAGCCAGTGTGTCATATTGGTTAGTGACTCACAGACCTACCTAGCCATTACACCAGCCAGTGTGTTATATTGGTTAGTGACTCACAGACCTACCTAGCCATTACACCAGCCAGTGTGTCATATTGGTTAGTGACTCACAGACCTACCTAGCCATTACACCAGCCAGTGTGTCATGTTGGTTAGTGACTCACAGACCTACCTAGCCATTACACCAGCCAGTGTGTCATATTGGTTAGTGACTCACAGACCTACCTAGCCATCACAGCCTGGCTGTTCTGGCACTTGTAGGATTTAGTGGTCCAGTTTTTTTCTTGAAAACTTTTCACCCTTGTTGTGTCAGCATTTCTGGTACTTGCTGGCAGCAGATTAAAGAATCTTGGCCAACTGTTATATATTAATGTTATACAAAACACTTATATAAATAAGACGTGTTACATTTGGAGTATCTTTACCTTGGATATTATAGTTGACAATAATGATACCCAAGTGTTGTACATGTTTCTTATTCATTAAAAATATGACACAATACCATGAGTGGAATAATTCACCAATAGCCCACACTTGGGAGAGAAAACTTTTGACAATGTTTCAGTCACAAGCAACTGAGAAAATAGTAGAGAAGGCTAGAAGACAGGATAGTAGGAGGGAAAGAAATTAACAGAACCATATACCAAAGGTATATGGTTCTGATGAGCTCAAGAGTTTCTACTCCTGGAGCCTAGCCATGGACCAAGCTCATCACAGAATTACCAGTAATAGTAATAGTAGTATAATAATAGCAGCAGTGGGCTACTAGTGATGTACTATTTAACTTTCATCACAGGTCTCAGCTACAGACGATGACATACGTGAGTCGCCTGGAAGCACTCGGTCATGCCACTAGTGTGCAGCAGTTCAACACCATGGATAAGTGTGCATTAATTGAAGGACTCTGGCGCTCGCAACGACACAACCCGACGGCACTCATATTACTCACTGATCTTTGTCACGACTATCAGGTGAGAGGACTCATTACCTTTGACACCTTTGAAGCTGATGATGGGCTCTTGATTCAAGGCAGTGGAAGTAACCTCCCCTCTTCCTTGGATCAACCAGCCACTATATGACCTCTGTGAATATAATGAATTTTATTCTTTTAAGGAGTGAATAGTGACAAATTGGTAACAATATTGAAATTAAAATTAGAATTATTTATTTACATAGGTACTGTATGCACTTATGAGTTTAGTGCTCCCCTTCAGTATTACACTTACTTAGCCTGTGATATATATGTGGGAAGTGTTGTTGTGAAAAGGATTTTAGGGGGAAATAAATGCTTTGTGTTGTACTTTGTTCCCCATTACTAAATGACTGGAACAATTGCAGATATGCCCTTGATGTTGCTGTCATGTGTCCTCGACTCACACTGAATCTAAGGAAGTTGACTTGCCCATAGATGAGATATTGGTTTTAATCATCACATTGTTTATTTTATAGGTTACCAAGGCATCACTATGGGGTGCTGTTCTCAATCAAGTTCAGAATTTTGTTAAGGTTAGTGTTGTATGGTACTTTTAGCATATGTGTGTATAGGTGTGTAAAATAACATATGTGTAGTTGTTAGTGTTTGAAGATGATATACTTGGAGGTATGTATGTATGAGATTTCCTGTTTGAAATTACTTTTCACCAAAGACCCACACTCAAAATTCTGGAATCTCATTTGCTATTATTTTATAAGATTGAGGTTTTTTCGAGTATACTTGGAGATAGGCAAGTGTAATTTTTTTTTATTGTTAATCTTTTATTATTGTGTGTTTGTGCACTTTTTTTTTTTTCAACAAGTCGGCCGTCTCCCACCGAGGCAGGGTGACCCAAAGAGAAAGAAAATTCCCAAAAAGAAAATACTTTCATCATCATTCAATACTTTCATCTCACTCACACATAATCACTGTTTTTGCAGAGGTGCTCAGTTTGTAATTGCTGTACCTAAATATAGTTACAATAGAGCTTGTGCTCATGTCCTCTCTTCTTTTACTTAATATATTTAAATCTTCCTGCAGATGTTTATAGTGTTGAATTTCTGTGTTGCATGACATTTTTTCTATCTGCAAAATTAATTACGTATTTTTTCAGGCAGTTCATTGACCCTTGTGAGATGCCACTAATGACACAGGCCTGTGATTGTTTTCTCTTGGCACTTTCCTTTCAACCAAAAAATATTTGTTATGAAAAGTTAACTTTTACTCCATTTATATTTTGTAGCTTCCAGATTTCTTGTCCACGAGGATCTCCAATAGTGCAGTGATCTCTCCCTCAGTGCCAGGCAGTGATCTCTCCCAGTGCCAGGCAGTGATCTCTCCCAGTGCCAGGCAGTGATCTCTCCCAGTGCCAGGCCCCAGTGAGCATCTCTCCCAGTGCCAGGCAGTGATCTCTCCCAGTGCCAGGCAGTGATCTCTCCCAGTGCCAGGCAGTGATCTCTCCCAGTGCCAGGCAGTGATCTCTCCCAGTGCCAGGCAGTGATCTCTCCCAGTGCCAGGCAGTGATCTCTCCCAGTGCCAGGCAGTGATCTCTCCCAGTGCCAGGGTTATGCCATCTGACATATAATACCAGAAGTGAACATTTGTTACACAGAGTGAATAATTTATGCAAGAAAACACCATTCCTGCATCTTCACCATTCCCACCTCCCTCTTCACCATCCTCACCTCTTCATCATTCCTACCTCTACACCATCCCAACCACCACAATTTTATCATCACACTACCCCCAACAGCACTTCTGCTTATATATGCATTAATAGACAGAGAAGAAAGGTTTGAATTTACATCAAGAAAAATTTGTTTGCAGTTCATGTCCATTTTTTGAACCTCTTGTTTTAACATATTAATGACTAAGCAGTCGTAATTTTTTTTTATTTTCTCCACCAGTCAGGTCAGATGGAAATAGGAAGACTTGAGCGAATTTTACTTCAGGTGAAGAGTTTGCCGCATCTTTGGATTGTTCCAGCTCTCACAGTTGCATGGACTACGTTAATTAACTATCCATTTACTAAAGGTAATGTGTATATTATCACAGAATTATCTTGGATTTCTATTTGCATTTTGGCTCTTCTAGGAGGGTTCATGCCATGATACTGGTGAAGGACCCTAATCAAGAAATAGAAACTACAGTAGAACCCCCAGTGTCTGCAGTTTACTGTTTTGTGAAAAAAAAAAAATTTTGCTGAATGGCCCCGAAGTGCAAAAGTAGTGATGCTGGCAGTTCTTCTAAGCATAAGAGTGCTTCCCATCAGTGCTAATTTTCAACTTGTTGTGCATAATTTATCAATTCAACTTTATCATAGGTATGTATGTAAATGAAAAACGACTTATAGGGTTCGCTACTATCCGTGGTTTTGGGCATCCATGGTAGGTCTTGAACTGTATCCCCCATGTATACGGGGAGGACTGCTGTACATTTACTTCTCTCTGACGAGACCTTATTACCTACCATTCCTCAGGTGCTATATGACCCGTACATATGTAGCACTTCCTTATGAGTATAATAATAATTAGCTCAGTTAAGTTCTTGAAAGCAGTAGGGTAACCCCCCCCCCCATCCCCACAAAAAAAAAGGAGAACGAGAAAACACACAAAAAATCTGTCTCGCCAGAAGTGTGCTGACGTCACAGTTTATATGACCTTCCAGATTGCAACATCCTCACCCACCCCTTCCCCTCCGAAGTGCAGGCTCAACTTCACCCCCTTCAGGACTCAAGTCCGGCTGACTAGTTTTCCCTTAATCCCTTCATAAATGTTAATTGCAATTTCCTGTATTATATTATTAGGTAACCTAATGGAAATCATCAGTGCTTCAATGAACAAATGGATAAATGACCCACAGGGGATTACTCTTCAAAGGGCAGAGCCTGCACTCTGAAGGAGGGTTGGAGGGTAATCAGAATTGTGATGTCAACACACTACTGGAAATACAGTGATAGTATGAATGATGGTGAATGTGTTTTCTTTTTTGGAGCCAACCTGCCTTGGTGGGAGATGGCTGTTTAGAGTATAACTGGTGGCAATTATTTTACTTTTTTCTTGCTAACAGTCAGTTACCCAGCAAGTGATGACAACTGGTGCTTTACATAATGCAGTGCTGTATGGCCTTTGTGGGTTTAGCACTTAGTTATGATTAAAATAATTTACATAATAAATTTCTTATGGTTAAGAGCATTGTTGAACTGTTATGTCCTTGTACTCTTTGGCTAATGTAAAAATAAAATGCTCATTGATAGTTATTTCACTTTTTTCTTGGTAACAGCCAGTTACCCAGTGAGTGAGCAGAGTTTGGCATCATGTCTGCACAGTGTAGACCTGTTGCTGCAACACTGTCCTGTGATCATCTCAATAGCACCACTACTCAAGTACTGTGCTACACTTCAGCTGCCTATGCTGGCTTTAGCTATTGCTGCTGCTGATCAAGTGGAAGGACATGACCTCCAGGCAAGCTACAAATTTTATCTTTTTTTATGAGACTGATAAATAAAACACTTGTACAGTATTTGGGTATATTTATTCTGGAAGTGTTCCCAAATGGTGTAAGTGTCTGATTGACCAACTTGTCAGTTTCCTAAACCACTTGTTCACATGAAAAGAAATATTTGTTATTGGCATAGTGCTGTATAGTCCTTGTGGCTTAGCTCTTCTTTTTGATTATAATAATAATATTGGCATAGTATTTATGCTGGTCAGTCAAGTTTGCATACTCTGGTACAAACCTGGTTACCTCCTATGTCCCCTCAAGGGAGGTTCCTTGATGCTGGTGAGGGGCTCTTGATCTAGGGAATTGGATCTGTTCTCCACTTCCCTAAATTGAGCCTGAATGCCTTTCTAGCACCTCCCCTCCCCACCACAGTATAATCCATATGGGTATAGCACTTTCCCATAATAATCCCAACCTGTGCCTTATTACGATGTCTAGTGATTATCCTGATTTTTAAATAACTGTAGGATACTTTTTCAGATGACAGAAATGCAGTTTTTTCTTTTACTAAGAAATCTTTGTTTTTTTTTTTTTAACGCAGTTCGTTATACGTATATTGTTTTCTACTCTGAAGTAAGTAGGGAATTACTTAACTTTTTTTTTCTTTCTTTCACTAGTGTAACATCATTTTATTTCCTCTAGGATTTGGCTAGCCAAACTCCAGTTGCCACTCTCAGGAGCCAGTATCAGGAACTCAAGTCTACATTTACCTTCCCCAAGAGTGTTGAGGTATGAATTTGTTTACTACATCAGAAATTTCCCACCAAGGTAGGGTGACCCAAAGAAGAAACAGTTGTAAATAAAGAAAAGTGGAGTTGAAGGAATACTAGGTAATTTTCTTCGGTGGTAGATCAGTGAAATGAATTGTAAGAGGATGTAATAAGTGGAAATTTTAACAGATTATGATGAGCAAATTATTGAAGATGGGACACCATGAGCATAGCTCTGCTCCTACATGTAGTTACATGCAGGTGATTAGAAATAGGTAAATAGGTCATTTTATTCTCCATCACTCGAATGCCCAAGTTGTATTGATATCCATAGGAAGTACATGCTCGGCAACTCTGTTTTAATCGTATTAAAGTACCTGTGGTAAAAAACACAATGCTGTATGACCCTTGTGAGTTTAGCACTTGATTTTGATTATAATAATATGGTAAAATATTATATGGGTGTGAAGCTTGGGTGGTAAATGCAGCAGCGAGGAGACGGTTGGAGGCAGTGGAGATGTCCTGTTTAAGGGCAATGTGTGGTGTAAATATTATGCAGAAAATTCGGAGTGTGGAAATTAGGAGAAGGTGTGGAGTTAATAAAAGTATTAGTCAGAGGGCAGAAGAGGGTTGTTGAGGTGGTTTGGTCATTTAGAGAGAATGGATCAAGTAGAATGACATGGAAAGCATATAAATCTATAGGGGGAAGGAAGGCGGGGTAGGGGTCGTCCTCGAAAGGGTTGGAAGAGAGGGGGTAAAGGAGGTTTTTGTGGGTAAGGGGCTTGGACTTCCAGCAAGCGTGCGTGAGCGTGTTAGATAGGAGTGAATGGAGACGAATGGTACTTGGGACCTGACGATCTGGTTTGGAGTGTGAGCAGGTAATATTTAGTGAAGGATTCAGGGAAACCGGTTATTTTCATATAGTCGGACTTGAGTCCTTGAAATGGGAAGTACAATGCCTGCACTTTAAAGGGGGGGTTTGGGATATTGGCAGTTTGGAGGGATATGTTGTGTGTCTTTATATGTGTATGCTTCTGGACTGTTGTATTCTGAGCACCTCTGCAAAAACAGTTGATAAGGGTTTTGAGTGGGGTTTGAAAGTGTTAAAATGATGATGAAAGTATTTTCTTTTGGGGATTTTCTTTCTTTTTTGGGTCACCCTGCCTCGGTTGGAGACGGCCGACTTGTTGAAAAAAAAAAAAAAAAAAAATATGGTAAAAACAAGGCACTATTTGCAGAGCAAATCTTTATTGTGGATGTTTTTTCCTGTATGGAGTGAAATGTAGATATATGACAGTAAGCCGACATATTGTTTTTTTAACACTGGTAGTCTTCAAATTAAAAAAAGGAAATACATGAACAGTTGTTCATTGAATTGTCTTGCCAGAAGAGTACTCATATCAGAGTTTGTATTGGCAATTACAACAAAGTGTTCATGCACTAGTGGGTGAATTTTAAAAATAAAAAGTTCTTTGCTGTAAGTATCTCCCACCTCTTTTACCAATGTGTATTTGTGGGTCACTTTTGCTGTCCAACACCAGAATTTCTTGTGGAAAGTAAGGTTATTGCTCCTATGAGCTGGGGTGTACGAGGCGGCACAACCTGGGAATTGTCATCAACATAAAAAAATTTGGGGGACAATTTTCTTTTTCAAACTATCATTAATGTTAATGTTTATAACCAGGGGTGGCTATGGAAGTTTTATAAAAATAAAAGGGGCGGCAATCTTTGAGAGGGGGCTTGTCTTGAAGTGGTATTATTATATGGGGCTTTAGCCCCCTTAACCCTTCTAGCATACAAGGATCAGGAATGACAGTATATTTAGGTATGATAGGCAGGTAGTAGCCTAACAAAAGAACAAGTGAGGTTTTTTGAGATGGAATCAGGTAGCCAATGAGATCACCTGATTTTTAGCAATCAAGTAGCATATTTTCTTAAAATCTAGCTGCTTAAAGAGCAGTAGTGTAAAGGACAGTTATGTTTGTACTGCTGCTGCTACTTAGCAGTTTTCAAAATTTAATTGGATCCTAAGTGTGGATGGTCATGAATATAATGTGTGTATTTATGGGTTACAGTGTGCAATTTTGAGAATTAATGTTACTTTCTATTTCAGGATCTGTTGGAGTGTCTTGAGTAAAGTTGCTGCTTCACACTCATCAGCCTCTGAGGAACAAAATTTATTCATGTAGAAGGGTTGAAGAGAGGGGATAAAGAAGGGAGTTTTGTAGGGTAAGGGGCTTGCTTCCAGGGAAGCGTGCGTGAGCGATGTTAATATGAAATGTATGGAGACTAATGGTACTTGGACCTGACGATCTGTTGGAGTGGAGCAGGGATATTATGAATGGATTCAGGGAAATCGGTTAATTTTCATATAGTCGGACTTGATACCTGGAAATGGTGAGTACACCCTTGCACTTTAGGAGGGTTTGGGATATTGGCAGTTTGGCATATGTGTAATCTTTCTGTTGTGCTTCTTAGACTGTAGGTAATTGCTGAGCACCTCCTGCAAACAGTGATAATGTCTGTTGTGTCACCCCTGAAATGAAAAGTATTTTCTTTTTGGGGATTTCTTTCTTTCATGGGTCACACCTGCCTCGTCCGGACTGACCCGACTTGTTGAAAAAAAAAAAAAAAAAAAAAAAAAAAAACACTAACAAGTCTAAATTGAAAATAACCTAGATAGGGAGCAGTAAAATAAATACTATTTTGTTTAGGGCAATGTATTTTGACTGATGCTTAACCAAATATATTTTAAAATTTCTGTTGACTAATCTTCCTCATATTGCTTGCTCATTTAGTGAACAATGCCCACTAGAATGCCTGAATAAATGTCATAATCAATGGAAGGTGAAATGCCACTTTGCCAGAGAAATAAAACAGAAGGGGTCTTGTCACCCTCGCAGAGATCCTTGGGGCAGATACCCCTGAAGGGAAATGTGGCTAACCCCCATTTCCACCTCAAAAAGGGGGTTCCTTTACTGGTGGGGTACTCTTGACTGGGGGAATTTGGATCGGTGCCCATTTCCCCCTAAAATTGACCTGAAAACCTTCTTCTCCCCCCCCCCCTACCAAAACACAGGCCGTAAAAATCCTCTACAGGTTAGGCGGCCCCCAAAATGATAACCTTCATTTTCCCCACTTTACTCAGCAAAAACTTACTTGACTTATCTATGTTATCTATTAGCACCCTCACCGATTTTTCGGTCTCCTCTTCAAGGGGGCCCCCTTGGCGTGGTGAAAGCCTTTTGGGGCTGAGGAATTAGACCTGTCGGTCACTTCCTCAGACCGAACCAAATTTCCCCCCCCAAACCCCCTTTTTCCCTTCCCATCCCCCCCCTTTTTTTCCTTTTTCCCCCCTCCTCCCCACCCCTCCCTTTTGCCCTTCCCTTTTTTTTTTTTTTTTTTTTTTTTTTCCCACGGCACGCTAGTTCCTAGGTGGGGGAAAGGGGTACCGGGGTCCATCCCATTCCTTGAGGTTTTGGCGGTGGCGTATTTCCCGGGGGAATCTGGATTGCCGGGGGGATTCCTGACCCTTTCGGTACCCCGGGAGGGGGTTTTTGGGTGTCCCCCCCGGGGCGAGGGGTGTATCTCTGGAAGCCCCCTTTTCAGATTCCGGGGGGGTGGCCAAGGAGGTATCTTTTGGGGGATTTCCGGCCCCCTCTCTTTTTCCACCGGGTAGCTCGGCAGATGTGAGGTTTTACCCCCCGGGATTCCCGGGTTTTACGGGCATATGGTAGGGTATGACACGGGTTCCATGCTGCATCTGCGCATTGCGGTGCTAGGCCCCTCTTGGGCGCGGGGGGAAATTTTCTGGCCCTTTCATTCCCCCTGGGAACATCCCCCCCCGGGGCCCCCCCCTTTTTTTTATTCTTTTTTTATTTTTTTTTTCTTCTTTTTTTTTTCTTCCTTAAAAACAAAAGAAAGAAGTAACCTAACCATGGCAGCCCTACCCAAGAACCTGCACCCCCGGGCCCCTTCTTGTACCCACCCCTTCGACCCCGCCTCTTTTTGGACCACTCTTCAGACACTCCTCACCTCTGTACCTTTTGCCGGTGCTTTTCCTCACCCGTTTCAGAACTGAGGCCTCGACTGACCCTTCTTTTATCTAAACCTTTCGTCTCCTCTGACTATTTTTCCGGCCTCCCCCTCAAACGGTGCGCAATTTTCGAATCGCCGGCCCTTTCCAAACGTCGCCCAAACTCTGGCCCACCCTAAACAAAACGAAATTACCTGCTGATGATAATTCCCACCTTCTGGGTTTTTCTCAGAAAAGATCGACAGGCCCTTCACTACCTTTCCACCTCATTTAGACGCACAATGGACAAATTCTTCACTTTACGACCCTTCCTCTACCCCTATTTTCTGCCACAGATTGGAAAGGGCACCCTACGCCATGTTGGTAAAGATATTTTTTTCATGCTTTAAGAGCATACGCCATCGTCACCATACAAAATGCTACCCAAGCCCATAGCTTTCCGTCTTTCCCATATCGATACTGTTCCGAACATTGAAAACATCACCCCCAAATTCTTGTATGGTACCATCATTCTGCCCCAAAAAAAACCATATTTTAAACAAAATTTTTCCAACATGTGGCACAAACATTTTTGAACGGGTGAACCCCCAAGATCTCCCAATCCCAAGGTAGACACTTACGTTTTTCCTGCCCGCGGGGGGAGACAACCCTAGAAATTGGCTCTTTAAAACTTTTGACAGCCGGAACTCCCTCCTCAGTTTTGTAGCGGGAAAATCGGTTACAATCCGAAAGGTGATCCTACACCGCAACAGTGAAAATTGCGGGGCATTTGGCCACCACAAATATTGCAGATCTTCCCCGAATGCCCGCCCTGGGGTGCAGATGACCATTCTAATACATCTTGCAATCACCCCCCTTTTTCCTTAATTGCAGAGGCTCACCCTTCGAAATCTCCCTTTGCCAAGTCTATTTAAACAGGGGGGAAATCCGTTCCCCAAAGAGGCAAAGGTCTCCCTATCCATGGCAGTTTCTCATCTCCGCCCCCAAAGGGGAACACCTCGTTTTCTTATTCCCTTTTTTAAAAACGTCCCCCCACTTGGGGAAACCCACTTCTGCACCCACCTCTGGGGTTACCTCCCCATATCACTCCTGTAGCTAATTCTTTTGCTGTCCCGGCTCAACGTCCCTACTTTAAAATCCAGTCTGTCTTTCTTCTTCGGTTCTCTCACAAGCCCAGTACGCGAGATCTCGTTTAAAACCTCCCCCCAAACGTCCTCTACTTTTCAAAAGTCCAAAAAAGGTCCGTTAACCCTCCCCCCATCTTTCCCCCTCCTCATTTTCCCTTCCCTGTCTCTGTACCTGTTCTCCCCCCTCTCACTGGCTCTGTTACAAGTGTAGAGGTTCCCCCCTCCCGTACGTACCCCCTCCCCTGTTCCCTCCCAAGTTTCTTCCCTTTGGCCACCTCCCCGGTTTTTCCCGCCTCTTCTGTCCCCTTCCACGCTTCCCAGTTTTCCCCCCACCCTTCCGTCCCCCCCCCCCTGGGGAAGTCCATTTCAGTTCCCAAACTTTACTCATCCCCCCCCTACCATTTTCCCAATATTTCTCCCATACACGTCTCGAATTTTGAAAAAACTTGAAGCAACCTAAAAATTGCAGAACCAAACCATCAATGGACATTGACCACCCTCCACTCCTTCTCTCTCCTCTAACCCCTCTGCGCAACTTCCCTTTTTTTTCACAGCGCACCGTTCCTTTTGCGCTTGAAAATTTTCCACTGCCCCCGCAGTGGACTTTTTTTAACCCCTCTATCCTAGGAAACCCTTTCCTGCGGGTTTCAGGACTTTACATCCAAACATGGGCCCATTTACAGTGGAATATACTGGCCTCGGAATCTGGGGGACTTCAGATGTTACTCTCCCAGTTTTCCCCCTTTGGGGTTTTTCTTACAGGAACCCAAAAAACACTCGCTGTTACTCTCCCCTCTCAGGCTATAATTTTTTTTGTTTCCAGATCCTTTTCCTGATGGGACCTTTAATAAATCCCCTTCTTCTACCACTGATATTCCGACCACACTTTTTTTTCGTACTTTGCTGATTACACAGCACCCGTATCCACTGCATAGGTGTAACGCTCTTTCTTTTATCTCTCCCTTCTCGGCATTTCTATTCCGATATTGCCCTTTTTTGTTTCGTCATTACCACCACCGATTCTGTTTCTTTTTGATTTTAATGCCCCCATTTTCCCCCTGGGGGGGGGCTCAGTATTCCCCTGGGGATTCAGTTAGAGGCTTTTTTGCCCCCCACCCCCCCATGTTTTTTAAAAACAGGTACTCACACCCATTTTTATCCCGGGCTCGCACTCTCTCTGCATCGATTTTCATCTCTTTCCTCCCCGCCGCATTAGATTTTACTTGGTCGTTTTCTTCCGGGCTTACATGACACTCATTTCCCCAAACATTCTTTTCTTTTCCCCCTTTATATTCACCACCTCTTCCATCCCACGCTGGCAATTTGATCCAAATTGGGAAACCCTTTACTCACACCTAACTGGTTTTTAGAGAGGTTTCCCTTTTTCGCCTCCACGATGGGTTTTACACCTCTTCTCGTCCTCCGTTTTAAACCCCCAGCTTCTCATTCTAACCCCCAAAATTCGGCAGCATTCTCAAAATGGTGCCTTGGGGTCTCCTGCTTTTGCCGTGCAGTACTTTTAAAAGCCTGCAAGGGCAGGTACCGGTACAATAAACCACAGAGAGACTTCTTGAATTTTAAACAGAAGCGTGCATCGTCGCCGTGTCATCCGTGAGCTAAACGCACTTGCTGGCGAGATTATGTCTCCACCATCACCTCTGCTCCTCTATGAGTGCATCTGGGGAAAAAAATACGAAAAACCCGAGTGGTTAAAAATTCTCCTACCCGGCTCCTGTTTTCGGGTTCCGGGGTTGATAAGCAAAAACCCCCTAATTTTTTCCCAAAGAAATTGCAATCATCTGGGGCCAATTTTTCCAGGGACTCCCTCTAGCCCCCATTTCTTTTCCCCAAAGTCTGCCAAGAGTTAGCACCCTTGGACTTTTCTTCTCTCAAGAAAACATAAATGTGCCTTTTACACTTCAAAACTGGGGGCAACACTTCAGCTTGCCGATCCGGCAGCTGGGCCCGACACATTATATTCATATGCTACAACATTTACATCAGTCAGCCCTTGCAGTCCTAAACCCTTTACAATCTTATTTGGGCACAAGGGT